CTCTCTCTCTCTCTCTCTCTCTCTCTCTCTCTCTCTCTCTCTCTCTCTCTCTCTCTCTCTCTCTTGAACTCTTTCAGTCTCTGCTGCTACGAGGATCACAACCCTGGATACATCCGCCTGCTACCCAAGCTCTACTTAGTCTACTACCACTACTCAGCGGCTATGGCCGCCTGTCTTCCACAGCTTAGTGCTGCCCAGCAGGGCACCTTAGCCCTCAGTCACTCGCAATAGCGCACAAGCACCAACAACGCTTCCACCTTCTTGCGAATGAGCAATCTGTTCGAAAGAGGCTGGGCCAGTCTTCTTATTGACTTGGACTGGGCCTCTGCTTGACTTGGTCTGGGCTTGACTTGACTGGTACCGGTCGCCCGCGGCCTGTTTGCTTTGGAATATTGGGGCCAGTACCTTCAAGACTTTTCCTCGGAGCGCTGCTGCAGTTTTGGACTGTAGGACCTGACTGGAGACCGGGTACCGGTTGAATTTGACTTTTGCAGCCTTTGGGTACCTGACTTGACACTTTTTTCAGTTTCGGCCTGCTTCGCCTCTTTTGACTGGGGGACCTTGACCCTGGGACTCAAATTTGGGGTCTGAAGCGTGAAAATGCCTTTCATTCTCACCGGCCTGATTTCTAGGTTCTCCGCGAAAGTTTCAAACTTTGCCTGTCTTACTACGTTGGCATCTCTGCAAGCCCTTCCATAATAGGAATGTATATGCGGGGCCATTTCAATTAACTCGTCTCTTGTAAACCAGCGAGCTTTTGTAGGTTCCTGGTAAGCAAATCTAACTTTGTACTATCGTTGGGGCCTCCCTCTGCGTCCTGATCTGTAGACATTTTCTGCAACTATCCTGCCTACATCATACTTGCCATCCATATCTGCAGGAATCATAGATCTCCTTGATGGAAACTGATCATTACTGACACAGGGTAGGCATGAAATACCAGATAGGTATGTAGATGAAGTGGGATTTCAAGAACATAGGAAGGACCATCTACATCACCAACGACATCCAGAATTTGCCAGAGTCCCCTATACACAGGTAGCAATTTCTGTGATATGTTCTCTCAGGGGACAAATTCTTTCGACTTAACCCAAAATAAGTCACCTACAGCAAACTGCGAGGTCTGCGATGTTTATTGGCTTGCTCAATTATCTGATGTTGAGCTTTCCTAATATTTTCCCTGACACGTTCAAGATCCCTTTCATACTGTACAGCAAATTCCCTTGTACCTGCCGGCAGTCTCTGAATTTGATCAGGATGCAAACAGTCAATAGGCCTTCTAGGACTCCATCCCCGATGCAACTCATTAGGCGTCCTAGTTGTAGCCAAGTGCACATAATTGTTATAGGCACTAGCTACTTGGGGAAGATGATCATCCCAGTCAATCTGATCAGGCCTAATGTACATGTGCAGCAGTTGCTGGAGCACTTTGTTCATTTGCTCAGTCTGTCCGTTTGTCTCAGGATGTCTGCCTGATGACATAGTAAGTTTAGACCCGTAGACATTCAACAATTGTTGCCAGTGCTCGCCTGTAAACCTTGTGTCCCTATCACTCACAATAGTGGAGGGATGTCTGTAGTCGTTTACCCAATGACTGAAGAATTCCCTAATCACCAAGTTTGTCCTTGACTCTGCAGGGAGTGGTACAAAAACAGCAAATTTACCAAATTAATCTACAATCACCATCACTTGACTTTTCCCACTTTGGCTCTTAACTTTAGTATCCATAAAGTCTATAGACACGGAGTCTCCGGGACCTGACGGGATAGGTAACGGTTTCAACAGTCCAAGGGGAGGCTGCGTAGAACTCTTGTTCCTTTGACAAACCTTGCAGCCCTGAATGTAAGCTATACAATTGTGCTTCATTCTAGGGCACGTACAGGAATGAAGGAGATTAGCATACATCTTTCTCCAACCGAAATGTCCCTCCGTGTCGTGACACTCCCCTAGGGTTAGACTGCGAACTTCTTCACTGTTTGGGATGCACAATCTGTCGTGCACG